GTTATGAATGTATGAGATTCATGGAAGATTGAAAAAATAATTCGACCTTGAAAAACCGAACGATCCTTTTGGCCGAACGGTTTAAAGGCACGTCAAGCTAAATGACGGTTCCGTATAGGATGCAGGTTCGAATCCTGTAAAGGACGAATATTTTCTATGAAAATTTCTCGGACATTCAGGCCGGTAAATGTTATTTAATACTGTTTATTATAAACAGAGCATTTACTAAAAATTTATATATATAAAAAGAATGTTAAACAAAAAAATGTCTTTAATAAATTGTCGGACTTTGTCCATTTCTTAATGTATATATATATATATGTATGTATATATATATATATATATATATATATATTCATGAATTATTCATACAAAAACAAATACAAAGGTTAATGATTTAATTGGCGAGAAATCCATCGTCGCAAACAATTCAAATATATATAAAAAAAACCCGAACCTGTTATGAATGAAAAGATCCTTGTTTCTATAAATTTCTGTTGCATTAGTTCTTATTTTTTTGCTACAAGCTTTCGTCTGTTCCTACAGACATCTTCAGGTATGGAATAGATGTTGTTCTTGTTTTTTTCTCTTAGTAATAAAGAGGACAACGAAAATATATGTATTGTTGTATCCGAAAATGCTATTGGAAATGAGTTATTGTTTTTGGGCGTGCAGTAGCAACGCTGAGTTTGATTTTAAATTTTTACAGTTGTGCGTTCTTGTACAAATATGGTGATAAACGAATTTTTTACTGGTAAATTTTCTGTCAAAGTGGCATGAACTATATTGTTCAATAATTACAGTAATGTCGCACTTATTATCCAAAAGTTGCACTTGGATCAGTTATTTTAATTTCGATAAACGTGCAATCAATTTACAAATTCATGAATTATTCATACAAAAACAAATACAAAAGGTTAATGATTTAATTATAAATCCATCGTCGCAAACAATTCAAATAATATACAAAAACACCTCTATATTATTTAATGAAACGTATATATATATATATATATATATATATATATATATATATATATATATATATATATAGATAACTATACTCGTTTCGAAAAACCCTCAAATTTTGATTTGCCAATAATCAATCAAATCTCGAAGGAAAAAAATGTTTTAAAAAAAAAAAGAGCTAGAAACATGTCTGTCGAAAAAAAATCGCACAGATACAGGTTTGAAGCCCAAAACAAAAACCCGATACGAGTAAACAACTAACTAACAAAAGAGCTCAATACAATGTAGAGCAAACCTAGATACACCTAGTGAGCCAGACAAACCTACTCAGGTTTCACCTAAAGCGGATCGTCAGGGGAAAATAATATATAATGTTTTTCCCTGACGATCCGTTTAAATGAATATAATATATTCGTTTGGCTCGCTATGTATCTTATATCTATAAATATATATATATATATATATATATATATATATATATATATATATATATATATATATTTCTATATGCAGATAATTTTGAATAATTTGGTGACAGATTTGAATGATGTTCCCTCAATCATAAAAGTATCTTATTTTCTCTTCTCTCATCACAGCTTTGGATCCGCGCTATCGGTGTCCACCACATCTCCATCGTGACGAGTACCTGAAAACAAAGGACAACAAGTGCTACCAGTTTATTACAAGTGAGGATTATTGGCATCATGCCCTGAATAACTGTCGCAAAAGCGGAGGTACCCTTGTAGAAATCCGAGGACCTGCCACGCAAAACTTCATCCTTAGATCGTTGCATGAACTTAAGTGGAGAAGAAATGGCCTTTGGATTGGCGCACACGACAAGAATCATGAAAGCTACTGGGAATGGGTCTCAGGTAAGCAGTAAACATTTTATATATTAAAATATAGCAAACTATTTTCTCAGGTGAAAAAAAAAAGAAAAAAGAAAAAATAACAAAAAGAAGAAATGAAAAATGAAATATCTATATTTCTGAGATATTATGTACACTATTTACATTGTTCGGTCTATTGTCCTCATCTTTGTCGCCATATACATCACAACGTTTCGGCCGATGTACGCTCCAGCCTTCTTCAGGTGGTTGGAATCTCGAAATGAACAAGCTCGCTGGGGTAGGCTGTTCTAGTTCCACGTGCCACGTCTAATGGATGTCAGTTATCAGTTATCTCCTGTTAATTCCCCTCTCAAAGTTTTCCACTGCCTTAACCAGTTATCGACCTCACAAATCTTTGGGTCCATATTTATCATAACGTTTCGGCCGTTGTACGCTCTGGCCTTCTTCAGATGGCTGGAATGTCGAACCCCTTATTTCGCTCGCTAGGGCAGACTGTTCTAGTTCCACGTGCCATGTTTAGTGGATGTCAGTTATCAGTTATCTCAAGGACACATGGCACATTGGATAAAGGCGTTGATTAGATTCAGTGAATTGAATTGAAGCTGGGGTAGGCTGTTCTAGTTCCACGTGCCACGTCTAATGCATGTCAGTTATCAGTTATCTCCTGTTAATTCCCCTCTCCAAGTTTTCCACTGCCTCAGTGAATTGAATTGAAGCTTGGCGATCAGGACAAATTGTGGGCCCCACATATTGTCTATAAATATGTGAGGAGCACTTAACGGCAGTGGAGTGTTTCCCAAACCTTTTTTCAACCAGCGTCCCCTTTTGTGCACGAAAAGCTTTGTCAACGCCCCCGCCCCGTTAGATTAAATTTCGAATATTATACTGAATTCATCTTTCATAGCAAGATAACACGTAGGTATTAGTGTCAAAATAATGCTAACCTCCATAAGAGCAACTCTTTGTGACGTTTTGGGCTCGTGTTTTCCGCTGAACACGAAGTGGGCTGATTATATTGAATCAGTTGCTCGGTCTAACGCTGAGGAAGTTGGTTCGCTGTGCCGTGCTAGACAATCTTTTTTTCATCTGTCCATCTTGCACAGTTTATAAATCTACCATTTATCCGTACATTGAATATTGCTGCCATATCAGGTACATTGCTCCTGTTATATATCTTGAGATTCTTGACAAAATCCAAAGAAGGGTCTGCAGATTATTTACGCTATTTACATCTTCGAACTGTGGTTCTCATCTATATTGTCATATTCACGACGTTTCCGCCACGGTAGGCTACGGCCTTCTTCAAAGGGAAGCCACATCACAGCAGTGGGAAAGTGGCTGAAGCCGAGATGCCAGATCAGGACCGATAACATTACAGTCTCTTCACCATCTGTCTGTATTTCTGACATGAAGCATTATAACTATTTAATCTATTTCCATTGTTCGAACTGTTGTCCTCATCTTTGATGTCATATTTACGACGTTTCGGCTATTGTACGCTCCGACCTCCTTCAGGATCTGTCTATATTTCTGAGATGAGGTATTGTAACTATTTACACTACTTACATTATTCGGACTGTTGTCTGCATCTTTATTGCCATAATCACGACGTTTCGGCCATTGTACGCTACGGCCTTCTTCAATATCCATTCGGTGAACGAAATAAAGGGTTCGGTTCGAAATCCCAAACACCTGAAGAAGGCTGGACGTTGTGAATATGGCATTGGAGACGTGGATAACAGTTCGAATAATATAAATACAATTAATCATAATACATCATCACAGATATATATATATATATATATATATATATATATATATAATGAATTTCAAGATTAGTAAACACCTTACACATTTATAAATCTACTATTTATCCGTACATTGAATATTGCTGCCATATCAGGTACATTGCTCCTGCTATATATCTTGAGATTCTTGACAAAATCCAAAGAAGGGTCTGCAAATTATTTACGCTATTTACATCTTCGAACTATGCTTCTCATCTATATTGTCATATTCACGACGTTTCCGCCATTGTACGCTACGGCCTTCTTCAGGTGATTGGATCTCTGAAATGAGGCCTTGTGATTACTTTACATAAAATGACCCGGTAATAAATATTTATAGCAAAATGACCAGTAATACATATTTATAGGAAAATGACCAGTAATACATATTTATAGGAAAATGACCCGGTAATACATATTTATATGCACATGACCCGTAATACATATTTACAGGAAAATGACCAGTAATACGTATTTATAGGAAAATGACCCGTAATACATATTTATATTAAAATGACCAGTAATACATGTTTATATTAAAATGACCTGTAACACATGTTTATAGTAAAAATGACCAGTAATACATATTTATACTATAATGACTAACAGTATTTTTCTTCTGTAGTTGAATGTTAATAATAATTATAAAAATGCTTTATCTGTTATGATTTTTTTTCTTTTGCTAGGTGGCGCTGTTACCTGGAACAATTGGGCAGATGACCAACATGGTTGTTGCTTTGGCGCCTTCGAGGATTGTGCAGTTCTTCGACTCAGTGCTGGTGGAACTTGGCATGATTATCCTTGCAATTCGCCGTTCCATCAATATTCATACATTTGCCAATTTGGTAAGTCCTTGGAGAAAATTCCTTGAGTTACGTGCCATTTTTTTTTAAAAAAAAAATATTTAAATAACTAAATAATTATTTTTTCTTTATCATCGCTTCATTTTACTGCGAGTTTTACCCCTGTCCTCAAATATGGCAATATTTATCGTTTCATCATATGACCCCAAGTGGAATTCACGTAAAAAAATTTATTTACACTCTTCACATTGTTCTGTCAAGCTCGGTATGTAGTTTACTTACATCATGACGAGCTAAACGATACCTCATTTTAATTTCTATGCCACAGCGTTTAGCAAAAAACGGCGAAAAACGAAAGATACGAGCAATACATTTTTTAAATATGAAAAATTACTATAATTCATATTTATAGCAAAATGACAAGCAATACATATCTACAGTATAATGACCAGTAATACATATTTATAGGAAAATAACTAGTAATACGTATTTAGAGGAAAATGACCAGTGTCCTAATCTTTGTTGCCATATTCACGGCGTTTTGTTCGTTGTACGCTCCAACCTTCTTCAGGTGAGTGAAATCTGGAACTGAAGCATTTATTTCGCCTACCTGGGGAGATAGTCCTAGTTCCTCAGGAGCACATGGCCCAGTGGATAAAAGCATGGGTTGAATTCAGCGACTTGAGTCAGAGCGTTGTGAGTTCAATACCGGAAACATCGTGAATATGGCAACGAGGACAGCAGTACGAACAATGTAAGTAGTGTAAATAACTGCTATACCTCATCTCAGAAATATAGACAGCTCCTGAAGAAAGACGCAGCGTACAAGGGCTGAAACGTCGTAAATATGGCAACGAAGATGAGGACAACAGTACGAACGATGTAAGTAGTGTAAATAACTACAATAATTCATCTCAGAAATATAGACAGATCCTGAAGAAAGACGCAGTGTACAACGGCTGAAACGTCGTGAATATGGCAACGAGGACAGCAGTTCGAACAATGTAAATAGTGTAAATAACTGCAATAGTTCATCTCAGAAATATAGACAGATTCTGAAGAAGGACGCAGCCTACAAGTGCTGAAACGTCGTAAATATGTCAATGAAGATGAGGACAACAGTACGAACAATGTAAATAGTGTAAATAACTACAATACTTCATCTCAGAAATATAGACAGATCCTGAAGAAGGACGCAGCGTACAAGGGCTGAAACATCGTAAATATGTCAACGAAGATGAGGACAACAGTCCGAACGATATAAATAGTATAAATAACTGCAATACCTCATCGCCAATAATGATTTAATAATACATGTCTTATTAATTAACCCATAGCTGGGGGGAAAGAGGTGGATTCATACATTTCTTCGGAGTGAATATACAAACCCCGACTGAAATTGGAACTCAGCTGTGCAATTTCCAACTCTGAGCCATTATGCATTGCACCACCCGTACATCCATGCTTACAGTACTTGTATTCCGAGAGGTCACCCAGCTAGGCACTGACCTGGCTCTAAGTTGTTTAACCTCGGTGATCGTTCGAGAACCTGTGTTTCACCTGATATTGTCGTAAGCTCTTTACATCACCCGGACATCCAAGTTTACAGCACTTGGTATTCTCAAACAGTCACCCAGCTTGACCCTGATCAGGCTCGACGTTGCTTAAATTCGACGATTGTACGAAAACCTGTGCTTCAACGTGATGTGGCTGTACGCCCTTTACACCACACGCACATGGAAGTTTACTGCATTTGGTATTCCTAAGCAGTCACCCAGCTAGGTACTGACCAGGCTCGACGTTGCTTAACCATGGTTACCGCCCTATCATGTTGAAACACCTGTTTCTACAGGGCCTTAAGCCTTTTGCACCAATCGCACATCCAAGCTTACAGCCCTTGGTATTCCTAAGTGGTCACCCAGCCAGGCACTGACCAGCTTCGACGTTGCTTAACCACGGTCATCGTACAGGAACCGCTATATCGACGTGAATTGGTTACAGCGCATTTGGTAGTCTCAAGTGGATACCCAGCTAGGTAGTGTCCAAGTTCGACGTTGCTTAACTTCGGTGGTTGTACGGGAAGCAGTGTTTCAACCTGATAGGACCGTAAGTCCTTTACATCAGCCACAAATCCAAGCTAACGATACATGGTATTCCCAAGGAGTCCCCCAGCTTGGTACTGACCAGGCTCGGCGTTGCTTAACCACGGTGATCGTACGAGAACCGCTATTTCAACTTGAAATGGTTACAGCCCACTGGGTAATCGCAAGTGGTCACCCAGCTAAGTAGTGACCAGGCTCGACGTTGCTTAACCTCGGTGATTGTACGGGAACCGATGTTTCAACCTTTTAGCGCCGTAAGCCCTTTATACCACCCACATATCCAAAATTACAGCATTTGATATTCCTAAGTGGTCACCCAGCTAGGCACTGACCAGGCCAACGTTGCTTACCTTCTCTCTCTCGCTTTTTTTTTTTTTTGTAAATCTCTTATACAAGCTTTCGTTTGCAGATATGTTGCCAACAACTACAACAAAGATGACCACACACTCGACGACCACAACGGCTGTACCATCGTCGACCAAGCCAAACACGACCAGCACCGAGACGTCCACAGCGGTTGAGAAATTCGCAATGCCGTTGGCTCACGTAGTTGCCGAGCACGTCGTTCATAAAAACGAAAACGACGTCGAACATGGAAATAAGAATTTGTTGCAAAAGGACAATCCTCAACCGGAAAGCTCTCACAGTAAGTCGCCTTTCGATGATGTCCGTATTCATGTTCCTTAGTTCTTTTGCATGATTTTTTCACGTGTGCCAACTCACCATGATTTTATTTGACGTCAAAATCAAGACTCGGTTTCAAATTCTATTTGAGTCTATAAACATCTTGATCTTGATCGTTTATATTTGAGTCTGTAACCATTTACTTGATTCGGGAATAGGCAAATCTTCATCGTTTATATTAGAGTCTATAAGCATTTAGTTGATTCGGGGATAGGTAAATCTAGATCGTTTATAATTGAGTCTATAAACATTTACTTGATTCGGCGATAGTTAAATCTTGATCGTTTGAATTTGATTCTGTAACCATTTACTTGATTCGGGGATAGGTAAATCTTCATCGTTTATATAAGAGTCTATAAGCATTTACTTGATTCAAGCATAGGTAAATCTTGATCGTTTATAGTTGAGTCTATAAGCATTTACTGGATTCGGCGATAGGTAAATCTTGATTGTTAATTTTAGAGTCTGTAACCATTTACCTTATTCGGGGATAGGCAAATCTTCATCGTTTATATCTGAGTCTATAAGCATTTTCTTGATTCGGGGATAGGTAAATTTTCATCGCTTATATTAGAGTCTAAAAGCATTTACTTGATTCGGGGGTAGGTAAAACTTGATCGTTTATAGTTGAGTCTATAACCATTTACTTGATTCGGGGATAGGTAAATCTTGATCGTTTATATTTGAGTCTATAAGCATTTACTTGATTCGTCCTTGGTGTACTGTTCATTTATATCTGAGCCTATAAACATTTTTCCTCTGGCACTTCGACATGGTTTAATGGTTAGCTGGCTTTTCTTGCTGAATCAATTACGACTGAAAAGTGAGTTCTATCCTCCCTGGGTTCTCCAGTTTCGGCCTTGTGCCACATCTAAGCTACACTTAATTTGGTGGGGGAGGGCACCTTGACGTGGAGCAATTTTTAGCAAGCTTCTCTCGCTAGAACAATTACGACTGAGTAGTGTGTTCGATCCTTAATGGCTGCCCTCTACTTTCGGCTTTATGCCACATCTAAGCTACGCTTGGAAAATCACTATAAGTATTTCTCGTGATTAGGTAAAACTTGATCGTTCATATTTAAGTCTATAAAAATTTATTTGGTTGGAGAAATTTAATGAAAGAAATACTAGTAAGCAATCATAACTCATAACGCTTCATCTAAAAAAATCAGACTACTATATCTGCTACTACTAGGTGGAAAGCAGTAGTAATCATTTGTAAAATGCTTTAATTATTCACTGCTCTTACAAGTACAAAATCCTTCTGTATCAATGATTTTCGCAAATTTGTATTCTAGATGTTGCGGCGCCGTTGACTGAAGCTGGAATATACACTGCCCAGAATTCAGGTGCGTATAATACATTGAAGAAGATAAGAATGAACAACAATTTAGTAGCGAAAAAAGTAAAATTTTCTTAGTAATTAAACAACATTGTCTTTTAATCCTGAAAGTTACGTTAAAGCGCACAATAAAGATACATGGTGGAGTAATGGATAGTGGCTCGGATTGAGGAATCGGAGAGCCGAGTTCGAATTCCAGTCAAAATCCATTATATTCACTTACGTGCTAATACCCTTGGGAAAGGTATGAATTCTTTTCTTTTTCCCTCGCTTCTAAATAGCAAGACAGACAGGCTTCTATAGCCTTTGATGGCAACTGTTCTACCGCAGAAAGAAATGACAACCTACTACGGGAAAAATCTGCCTCGTCAGTCATGTACCGAAAGATACATGATCGCCTAAGCGTGTATCACGCATGGCACATAACGGACCATGACATGAAGTCCTGTTTTCAGGGGATCACAAATCGGGATTCAATGTAACATGAAAGGGGATCAGTCTAACATAAATGGGAATTAATTTAACACAAAAGGGGTTCAGTTTAATAAGAAATAGGATCAGTTTAACACAAAAAAATATACAGGGTGCGATGGGTAAATTGTCGCCCTTTTATTTTTAATTTCGCGCATGCGCGTTGTTTGTTTTTGATTATTGTCGACTGCACAGTGTAGTAGTGTTAGCTGGCAACCGTCTTTTGAGAAAAAGAGCACCATGACGCAATTCACTCCGCCAGAAATTTGGAAACGGCATGTTGTACTGCTTGGCATTCGCGCCGGAATCTCCAATATGAACATCTCAGAGTATTTTGGTATCAATGTGAGGACAGGGCAGAGGATTTTGAAATAGTTGGATGAGTCTAATGGTGATTACGAAGGTGTTTCGAATGATCACTAGTGATGACGACGTTATGCCTCAATTCATTTTCCTACAGGGCCTCAGACTCAACGGAGGCCTACATGAAGTGACTTGAGGTGGTGGTGCTGGCCTGCATCAAGAGGGTGGCTGCTGGAAGACCTTATGTCTGGCAACAGGACCCTGCACCATGCCACACAAGCAGGAGAACCCAGTCATGGCTGTCTGACAGTTTCTGCAACCACATCACCCCTTACATCTGTCCATCTTTCTCCCCAGACTGCAACCCCCCTTGACTATTATGTGTGGGGCGCATATGAGCGAGAGACCAACAAAACTCCTTGCAACACTAAAGATGAACTGAAGGCAAGGATTATGGCAGCATTCACCAACTTAAACAAGGAGACCGTCCAGAAGAGTTGCAGGAGATTCCGAAGTCGTCTAGGGGCCGGGGTTGAAGCCAATGACAATTTTATTGAATAAATTTACTCTTTAATATTTCAAGATATTTTTGTGAAATTTTGATAAATATATATGTTAAAATAAGATGTCGGTGTTATTTTAATTTATGCATAATTTAGACGACAATTCAGGAATCGCAACTTGTAATGTGAATTAATTTAACGAAAAAGGCAGTTTTATATATCAAGAATAATTGTTATTGGGGAAAGATATATACAAAGTGCTTATGTGTAGGTATATATAACGTTGGACAGATTTTGTGTGTGTGTATATATGTTTAAGCGTTAATTGATTTTATTTTTTTCAGATTTGAACTTAAGTCCAACACACAACCGATGGAAAGATTCAGCACGCAAATGAGTTCAGTTTTCTAGGTCTGAGTCGAATTATTTATTTGATGTTCTGAGTTGACACCATGTACAAAGCTTATTTTGTCATTTTAGAGTGAACCCCAAACATATTGGGGTCATCGCAGATTAATTCTTCTTTGATCAATGGTTCCTTTGGGTTCATTATTAAATTCGATTCAAAAGACAAGATTTCAACGGCGTGAAGGATGAGACCTTATGCCTTCTGATATTTATTGAAGGTGTTAACGTGTACAGATTTTGACTTGGTGAATTGAAATGGGCTACAGTAAAGCATTGGGTTCAGTTTGGGCGATATTATTTTTTGCCATTTGTTTGACCATCTTAAATAAGACATGTCCCCTCAGAGAAACACGGTAAATCTTAATCGAAAGTATTGATTTATCTGACTTTGATCCGTTTTTTTGAAAATTTGAAGAATGAGACAGCGTAGAAAACTTGAGAGCAACAAAAAGATAACAAAATATTTTCTGATTGATGGCTATTTGAAGATTTTAAGAAGTGAATTTTAAGGTATCTTTTCATTCACCCGTGTGTATTTGAGTCTGCATGTGATTTTATAAAAATCTGTCACCATGTTATCGAATTTGTATATGGTGCAAATTTGAGTGTGTTTTACGTTTTATCAACCCACCAGTCGTGATGGGCATATTGGGCTTTGTAGATTTGTAATCCAGTCTTATTTTGTTGCTCTCCCTCAATAAAATAAAATGAGAAGATTATATAAATATAATATAAACAACTGACATTAGAACGAATCCAGATCCGGTTCCAGGGCATTTTATATATATATATATAAATATATATGAATATATGGATCTCGTGGGTTCTGATACTAACACATCTGTATGTTTTATACGGATGTTTTAAATGAGAAAGTTGGTGAATTAAGGTGGAAATATCTTAAATATTTTTATTTATTGAATCAAAAGAGATTGGTTTGTCGGTTGCGGACCGTAGAAGTTGGGCATACATATATATATGGGCATGCACACTTCACGCTGGTGTATTCTGCATGTCTGATTCATGAGTGTAAGAACCATGAGATAGAATGTTGCCAGATACATTAGAGACTATTTTTTTACAGAGGGATGAGACTGTAGGAGACGACTTGGGGATTCTGTCAATCTTTTATGATTAACACTCACTAGGGGAAACGCCTGTTGGTTTGGGTGACCGAATTGAATAATATTCAACTTGATAGAAACAGTGATTTGGGTTATTGAACGGCTTCTATCAAAACCTGTCACTATATCTCGAATATTTGGCTTTTTTCCGTTCAAATTTTAGACTGGGCGCCAGGAAATATCAGACATTGTATGTTACGAAAAGTTGTGGGGGTATTAAATGTTCATCTTGATCCGGAATAAATCTTCTATTCCTCCGTACATTGAATTCGAGTTCCAATCTGGTCTGTTATGATCACTGCTGTAGATAACATTCTCGACACTGTTCAAATTTTTTCCCCAGCTAAGGGTTAAATAACGCAGCTGATTGTGCTCAATTACCTTGAGATGGGCAACCAGGCTAGGAAAAATAAAATTTCTGAATTCAAAACCCGAACTCTCTCAGTCTATCTTACCTCTCGGAACACCACTGAACATTTAGCTGCTGTATGTATTGTGCCCTTAGGACCCTATTGGGTTATGGAAGTTGAGAGGTGACATGATATTTAAACCTCAATGTCAATTTGTTGACGGGCTGCACTCTAATAATGATAATAATAGTGAACAAATCTGCAAATATCTTCAAAGATACATTACATACAATTTGCAGGGAGAGTCATGCCAATAAGAAAGCGTATTCTGTTCTTGTGGTCTTTGATCTTTGATGTCTGGGGGATTAGCTTTCATTGTTCTGTATCTGTGTAAAATCCCATAAAATTACTATAGGTCCTATCTCTGTAACTGAGTATAGGTGATTAATATTATTATTATTATTATTATTATTATATTCTTCGATTTCTGTTGTATATACATTTCCTTCTATCTCAAAACCAGAGATTTAAGGTCAGAAATGCCATTTCTGCCTTCTGAAATTTCTTTTTTTGTAAAATATCACACATTTTGCATAGGTGTTGTAGACTGTTTTCACAGAGAGGCTTGTATTTGTACTAAGTCGGTCCTAAAATAGGTTCGACGTACAAAACGTTAGGAACTTGATATAATAGGTAATGACACAGAAATCTAGTGGTGGCCGCCGATACGTTAGTATCCGACTAACGGTCATCCAGCATCGACTGACTGACCGACCCACTGAGTGGTATTCAGTCACCCCCCAC